GTTGCTAATTTAGTAACATGGCTGTTGAGTGAATCTGGCTTCCCCATTAACTTTGCTGGTCGGACGGTCGCAAAAAGTGATCATGTGACCCCCCGAGACACTGTAACTGTCGTAAATATGAGTCAGTTTCCAAGTGCCGGAATTTTGATCACTTGATCTGGGAGATGCTGCAATGGTTATAGGTGTTTAAAACGGTCATAAATCACTTTTTTTCAGTGCCGTTGTAACTGTGAATGGTCACTAAATGAACTGTTGTAAGTCCAGTACTACCTGTATAGAGAATGGACTTTTTTATTACCTTCTTTTCTCTTGCCAATGGGTTCCCAAGGGTTAGGCAACCCTTGGAAATGATATGAGATATGCATATACTGTAGGAGGAAGAGTCTCAAATCACCAGAAATCGGTTTCTTATGCTAATGATATGTCTATGTAAGTTCCAAAGCATTGAGTTATTATTTCATAGGGTGGATAGAAAAAATAAAATTACTACTGACTTCTAATGTTTGTTCATGTTTCTTTTTAAGTTCTTTAATATCTTTCTTGTGTAGTGCTTCAGCGTGATTGAGAGCATCTTCTACTGCATCTTCTTTTGCTACCTCAGCCTACAAAACAGGCCGCGAATAGAAGCAGTTGGTTAATACAACTGTGCTAAAGACATCACGCAGGACTGATCACATGGTACAATCTCAATTGCTAGGATGGCTCTTTAGCAACAGAGTTGTCCTTGTTCATGGCATTGATTCTTCTCCCATTGTGTCCTCCCCAACCTGTTCCAGAAGGGTTGTTCCAGAAGGAAAAGCGTTATTGCCCAAGCCGAAGTCAACTCTAACCCCCAGATTAGTTACAGTAGTCCTTGACTTACAACCATTTGTTTAGTGACCGTTCGAGGTTACAACAGAACTGATAAAAGTGACTTACGAGCGGTGTTCACACTTGCAACCATTGCAACCTCCCCATGGTCACGTGAACAAAATTCAGGCACTTGGCAACGGGCATGTCATTTATGTTGGTTGCGGTGTCCTGTGGTTATGTGACTGACATTTGTAATCTTCCCAGTCCGCTTCCAACAAATGCAGAAGAAGCCAGATTTGCCTAATGGCTGAGGATTCACTTAACAACTGTGGCAAAAAAGGTCATAAAATAGGGCAAAACTCACTTAACAACTGCCTGGAAAAGCAATGGAAATTCTGGGCTCCGTTGTGATTGTAAGTCAAGGACTATCTGTAATTCTTCATAATTTGAGAAGAACATAAGAATAGCCCTCTGGAACAGGCTTTTTTTATTTTTATTATTACAAATATTTGCATCTGTCTGTGCTTCAAGTAACTCCAGTGCTTCTTTTAAACTTAAAATGAAGTTAATACAATAAAATTCTACTTCATGTATATTGAACACCTCAGACAATGTTCTAAAAAGTAAAATTCATGGCTTAATTGGAAATACAATTGAGAAGTTGGAACTGTAAGCACGTGGTCTAGATTTGAACTTTTACTGTCACCTTTTGGGAAGAAATCCATAGGATATTTAAACTGAAGATTATTGGTTAAGGACAGATAGCATTTAGATTCTATCAAGGTTTTTTTTTTGTATAGGCAAAAACTATTATAAAAAAGGATCGCCACATTAAAAAAGAAAAGATGTTGAGACTCTGGAAAGAGTGCAGAGAAAAGCAACAAAAATGAGTAGGACCCTGGAGGCTAAAACATGAAGAATGGTTGCAAGAATTGGGTTTGTCTAGTCTAGTGAAAAGAAGGACTAGGGGTCACTTGATAGCAGTCTTCCAATATTTGAGGGGCTGCCACAAAGAAGAGGGAGGTCAGCTTATTTTTCAAAGCACTGGAAGGCAAGACAAGAAGCAATGGATGGAAACTAATCAAGGAGAGAAGCAAACTAGAACTAAGGAGAAATTTCCTAACAGTGAGAATAATTAACCAACGGAACAGTTGTCTTCAGAAGTTGTGGGTGCTCCATCACTGGAGGCTTTTGAAAAGACACTGAACAGCCACTTGTCTAAAATGGTATAGGGCCTCCTGCTTGCACAGGGGGTTGGACTAGAAGACCTCCAAAGTTCCTTCCAACTGTGTTATTATTAAACAACATTAAGACAAATCTATACCTGATTTGTACCAGTACTGCTGATATATTGTACCTATGACATCTATTAACATGCATCACAAGGAAAATCTACATTACATCGTAAACATTAAGAAGGTTTATATTTAACATCACAGAAGAATAGTTTTACCTGAAGCAAGAGTTTAGTTTGCACTTTTTCTATTCGTTTTTGTATTTCCTGTTCTCTTTGGTCTACATCTTCTTGCTTAAGGTCTGCTCCAATCTCTATATAAAGTAATATAATTGAAGGCCACAGCATATATTATATTTGGATTATTTGGTCACACATGCCATTAAAAAAATCAAAACTTTAATTTAAAAGCATTAAACCATTACCATCATTTTGTGAAGACTAGTGTGCACAATCAAACGTGCCATACTTATATTAATTAAACATATAAGAAAAGTTGTGAATGTTAAGCTGCCATTCTCTGATTAGGCTTGATAAGAATTTAACCCAATAACTTTGGGAGAGATGGAAATAGAAATAGCACTTAGACTTATATACTGCTCCATAGTGCTTTACAACAGAGGTCCCCAACCTTTTGGGCACCAGGGACCAGTTTCATGGGAAAAGGTTTTTCCACGGACCGGAGAGTATGTGGTTTTGTGTGCTGCCTGCATCTTGCGGATGGGGCTTTGTTTGTGCGGACCGGTTGCTAGCATGCTGCAGCCTGGTACCAGTCCACGGACCGGGGGTTGAGGACCCCTGCTTTACAGTACTCTCTGAGTGGTTTGCAGTCAGCCTATTGCCCCCAACAATCTGGGTCCTCATTATATAGACCTTGGAAGGATGGAATGCTGAGTCAATCTTGAACCGGTCAGGATCAAACTCCTGGCAGTGGGCTGAGTTAGCCTGCAATATTGCATTCTAACCACTGTGCCACCACAGGTCATAAATCTATCTCTACCCTAAATATTCCACATTTCAGCTTGTCTCAACAGATTACATGGCAATGGCAAGATAGATCCTTACAGATCTTTATGATGTACCATTGGATGCTGTTCCATCTGAGGGATCCTGGTAGAGTATTCCATCTACAGCAGGGTTGCCCAGCCTTGGCAGCTTTAAGACTTGTGGACTTCAACTTCCCCATTTGGCTGGAATTCTGGGAGCTGAAGTTCACAAATCTTAAAATTGTCCAGGTTGGACACTCAGGATCTTCAGTTTTATGCAGTTAACTTCAACATCTAAAGCAGGCATTCTACCCTGCTGGACAACCAGCACTAGAGGTATCGAGTTTGCTCTAGTTTTTTTTTCCAAAGTGATCAGAAGGTCGCACAGGCCAGAAATAATTAATAATCATGTGATGCAATGATTATACCATAGAAATTGGGGATAAAGAAGCATACTAATTATAGCACTAATTTTGTCATGGATGGGTCGAAGGGGGAAAATTAATAATGTGTAACTGCAAAATCCAAGCATTAGGCATATTGTATACTACAGTAAGCCAGGCCAAATCTTTTACTGATCTTAAAAGTTTCTCCATTCAAAGCCAAAGAAAGCCACTGGTTTGCCAGATTAAAGCTGTGTTCTCTGAATGACTGAACACAAAAGCATCAAATTTACACATTAAGCCATACTTTGCTTAACCATGGTTTGTTGGAAAAAGTATAACTGTTCATATTCGCATACATGCTAAGTCATAAACTAGGATTTATGAATCACCCATAGCTGGATTCGCACAATATATCTAATCTAAATTAAATGAAACATGAAAGTTTAATATGTTTGAACCCAGTCTCTCTCACTGAGCCCAGGATAGTTGCCTCTTCCATCAACGTATTAATTATAAAGAAATTTAAAATATATATTCAAAGCCCATTAAAGCAATATTTAATAATTTAAGCAGGTCCTTGAGTTGAAGAATCCTATTTTCCATATTATGGACCATTGGACCATCCAATTATTCAAAAGCACAGAATGATGTTGTACGCACTTAGATACAAGTAACAAATTTATAAATCTCCATACATTTCATTTTCCTCCTTTTTGATATCAAGTAGAAAGATATATTCCCTACTAGACCAAAGATGCTCTTTTCCTTAATGATATTTGCAGCCTTTTTTCCTATTTTTTTCTCCCATTTTATTGTTCATATGAATAACTAAGATTGTTCATGTTCTTGTATGCAGATTCTTTAGAACATGTTCAATATATGAATCATCATAGGTTATTGAGGAGATTGACTTACCCAATATATCTTTGTGTGTATAATACCGAGTTTTATAAGGTTTATATTCCCTAATCCGGTCAAAGGTCTCTGGTGTAGGAGGCGGTGGAATTAGTTTTGAACAAACAGCACAGCAAACAAATGTATCAAAATCTGGATTTCTAATCATGATTGCATGAGATCTTTTCCCTCCTTTGAAGAGAATGAAGTAACTTATTCAGATGCAGATACAAAAGCGTAATTCTTCCATTCAAAGCTGAATTATATTTGGTGTTCCTTTGAGTTTGTGCATGTCAGTGGAATAAATAAGGTGGCTTCAGCATTGTATGGCAAGATGGTCAGTGGAAGAAAGAGAAAAGGACCACCATTATATGGCAAGATATGTATCCACCTGCTTCTTCAGGAGCTGCTTATTAAGAAACTAGTTACATTGTCATGACTGTATCTGAGGCTATGAGTTAAATCCCACCTAGTAACTGTTGCTAGGCAAAGTAAGTTTTGCTCATAAAAGCATTTGCGACATCAATTAATATTACATAGCATCTTGGAATATTTTTATAATTGATAAAAGTCTCATTTGCTTTTCTAAAACAATGTACATGAATTATTACCGTATTTACTATCCAAATATTTAAACCAAAAACTTAATATTCCACTAAATGGAAATATGCAGGGAAGCTCAAAACATTGAAGTAACTCATGGAAATATATTTTAACAGATTAGTTTTATTGCCTTGAGTGAAAAATATCAATCCATCAATCATTCAAAACACTAAATCATAAATAAATTACTTTGGAAGAGACTAGGGCAGTTTTCCTTATTTAATATTTGAATATTAAAAATTTGCACAGCTGGATGATTATACAAAAGACACATTTTAGGAATGTTTTTTGAGTGACTTACTAAAACACTGATGCTTAATAATAAACTTTAAAATCAGGCAGTGAAGTTTTGGTAATGATTCTAAAGCATCTATTGACAGTATAGATAAGAAATAATACACAAATATTCTGCAGTACTCCTTTTATTTATAATGTACTTTATTCAAAATATTAATAGGTAATAGGATTTCACACTGATGTTTAAACTGGATAATTGTTTTTTAAATTCACTATTGTATAAAAATTAATGCTAATGCTTCAGACAAAATCCTGAAAGTCACCATTCAGAAAATCAAGTCTTCCTCCATGTTAATATCAACAATGACAATAATTTCCTTTAGTCCCATTTTGAGGTCTTGCGTTTCATAAGTCTGTTTCCTTCACTGTCGATAGCTTCATAGAGATCCTTTTTGTTTTCTTGTTGTGCGTGCAAGTACCCAATATAAGCTACACAAAGAGTAATTGTCACAAGGCCAAAAGCCATAACTGCTTTGTTCTGTGAAAATGAAAAAATAATAGTTTGAAATCCAGACATTTTATTTAATCCATGTCCTATGCACCATGCATCTTAAAAGTATTTTATTAAGCTATGCCCTGATGACCTATTTTATTTTCCATCTTCATCTAGCTTTCAAGGAGAAAAAGGAAATGACTAGAATTAAGGCTGCAGTCCTTTATATAAGTGGAATATTTTTATTTTTTTTTATTTTGCGGTCACAGACCAAAATGCAAGTGCAACAAAAGAAAACACAAGAAAAATATAATCACAAACAATTAAACACCAGAAGCCTTGGCTAAAGGGAATTACAACGTTCTCCTCTAATAGTTACAGCTCTTAAAAGAAATTTAGAAACCTGAGAAGTAATATAGGAGGAGCCATCCCCTAGACAATATAAGACCAAATTACTAACATTAGAACCAGAGGGATCAATTCCAAGGAGAGACAATAATTTAATTCTGCCTGTGTTATACATAGGGCAGTATGATAAGACATGCTCCACAGTTTCAACTTCAGCCCTATCACAGGGGCATAGTCGCTCACTAAACAGGAGCCTCTTGAATCGCCCGTCGAGTAGTGCTGAGGGCAAGACATTGAAACGAGCCAGGGAAAAGACTCTTCTATACTTAGGGATGGTTAAGAGTATAGAAATATGAAGCCATCCTCAATCCATAATTATTAGAATGGCTGAAGATCAAAGGGGAGCAGGTTTTGTTGGCTCTGGCTCTTAAATATTGCAAATCTATGTCCACAAGCCGTTGGACTACCCTAAACTGGGCATCCTTGAGACCATAATCTCCCAGAGCATCCCTCGTAAAACCTAGCAAGTGGAGTTTCTTCGTCAGCTATAAGTGGAATATAGTTCTCCAACGGTTCTTTTGAAAAACCACAGCAAGTGGCAGCACTTGGGGGTCATCTTGCTGATTTTGGAAAAACTAAGCAAGGAGGGACCTGGTTAGTAGTTGAAAGGGAGACTACTAGGACAGCCCAGGGCTCTAGGCTAGAATGAGAATTTGAAGAGGTATCCTAGAAGGCAGTATCAAAATACATCTGTACTGTTGCCAAAATAGCAGCATTAATGTATTTGTGTAGCCCCTTAAAAGTCAAGCTTTTTTAAAGTCAGTAAAGGCAATGTTCCCAATTATTTGCCTGATTTATTATGAAACAGAAGGCATGTAAATTGCAATGAAATGGCTTAGTTGAGTTAGGTATATAAAATATGAATAGTTAATCTTCTTTAGTTCCTCAATACCTTTTTTTTTTTTTTTTTTTTTTTAACAGAGACTGTGTGTTCCTTGAGTGTGAAATGTTTGTTTGGACAAAATGGGTCTCATCCAAATTGCATGTTGTTTTCCCATACATTTTAAATATGCTCCTATTCATGACCGATTAGGTTTTATAGTATTTTATCAACAATTCAGTACAGCTATAGAAATACCCACTGGCCTCTGAAAGCTTAATTCAATAGGCAAATTACTTCTTCATTTATAAAATCTTAATGGTTGCTGGTAAGAGTGTAGAGGACATTACAGTTCTCCTATTCATGTTAAAAAAGATAGTGGCTAAAGTATTTTAATATCATACTATTTTAATTAGCAAGTTACCAACTTTTTTCTATCAAAACTAATGTTATGCCTGAATTAAAAATGGAAAGTTATCAGAAGTTAAATATAAATGACCTCTTAAACAACTTATAATAGCTGAGTTTACTTAAATGTAATAAACCATAATTGGATTTAGATAAAATGCTAAGTCATTAACTATAAATCCAAAACATAAAGACTAGGGTCATATATCATAGTAAACCCAAACAATTCCTCAGATGTTAATAGCTACAGCCATGTAACTATGCAACTGATGTGCAGGCAAAAATATGGATGTATTTAAATCAGCTGCCCCAAATAACTGTTGTTCTCTTACAGGTTTAATGAAAAGTTCTGGATTCACAGCACGGAACAAAGTAGTAGTTTGGGCACCTCGGAGTCCTGGAATTCGATAATCTTTCTTTTGGGGTGCTTCATGTGGAACATCTGGAGGAACATCTGGAGGCTGCGGTGCTGAAGACATCTTACTGTGGCAGAAATATTTGGACTGTGTGACACTTTACTAGTATCCTGTATTCTAATTGCAATCTAATTGACAAATACAAATAATAAAAGTCCAGGTCTATTATTTTTCAAATCTGGAAAACAGCAGTGATGGGATACCTCCTGAGCATTGCTAGCCAAAAACCTTGAATAATTATCCCATTTTTCTTTCTTAGCAGCTTTCTGTCAAAACAAAACAAACAAAAAACCCTGAGCAAACTATAGCATATAAACAGAAAGCATTTAATCTGGGCCTTGGCATAACATTCCAGAAAGCAGCAATAACATTATACATCAGGATTAATTCTTGCCAATGTCGGGTAGAGTTTCAAACACTGCTAGTCAATATAGCCAGAGCCAAACTAAACAGAACAATACATTAGTATGGAGGAAATTGTGTAACTTCCCATTAATCTTAATTTAATAGTATGATCCACTTGATAATCCAGTGTTTTGGCCTTCCACAATGTTGAGTTATCTAGATACATTGATCTATGACTTACTTCACTGTTCATCAGTTAGGGAAGATGGGAACTGCAGTCCAACAAGTTGGCACAATATTGTTCCAGAGCTATGAGTTCAAATCAATCAAATAGTTGTTTAATTAAAAAGCATTTATGGAAGCAGCTGAAGTTCATAAATGTAATATATGTTACACTTACAGACATCTTGATATTACATGGGAGGTGCCCTGTAGATTCAAATGGTGGAGGCATCTGGAAAGCTGACAAGATTGGATTAGAGGGCGATAGCCCCTCCCACTCTCACTTGCCAGCAACCAGTATTTAAGATGGAGTAGAATCCCCTGGAGATACATTTGATTCCCACTTTCTTAAGCTCAGCACATAAACCTGGGCTATCCCCTAATTAGAGATATCCAGCATTCTGGAGCTAAAAAAAGTGGGGTGGCCTAGGCTTGTGCATGTATTCCACATTTGCCTATACCTGCTACAATTCCAGGAAAATAATGCATTTGATGCTCAAAGGTGTGCATATTTCAGGGGATGCCACTGAGTTTTAAAACTGGGAGAAAGGACATATGGTCTATGCCAGGGGTAGGCAACCTTGGCTCTTTTATGACTCGTGGACTTCAACTCCCAGAATTCCTGAGTCATAAAAGAGCCAAGGTTGCCTACCCCTGGTCTATGCTATGCATTTGAGGTATCTTCTTATCCTCCTTCATTCAAACTAAAGACTATTATAATTCTTCTTCATAGGGGAACTGCTCTAGACTTGTAATTATTTTGGTTGCCCTCCTGCATCTTTTTGAGCTCTGTAAAACCCATCTGAAAATGTGATGACCAAAATTGCATTTAAAATATCACAAGAGTAATCTTTGCCATATATTTTCATTAAATTAGCAATTCTATTTTCAATTCCTGCCCTTTTGACTTCTAATATGGAACCTGCCTTTTTCACACTGGCTGCACATTAAGTTGACGTTTTTATCCAGCTGGTCACCAAGATCCTCTTGATAAACCACTTCAGATCCCGTTAATATATATCAGTCACAGATGGATTTTTCTTGGACCAACATTCATTACACTTGCTTATTATTATTTAAGTCTCGTGATGACCATCTGCCAATTTGGAAAGTTTATTTGACTGTGGTATTTTTCTACCCCAATAGCCACATACAAAACTGCCTTCTACCATATCACACCTTATAATTCTATATGTTCCACCAAGTTAGCAGCCTGGGGGTTTTCATCCACAGATCTCCTATCACTAGCCATCGACGGTTAACGTGCAACCTTTTTTCCTTTAGGGATTTTCCTTGGTAAGGAAGAAGAAGTACAACAGGAAGCGAGGAAAACCTGGGATGATTCTCAATCGACCACCACGATGTCGGCACCTCATTTTTGAAAAAAAATTCTGCAAGCTTTCCTGGAAGCAGCCAAACTCTCTAGAAGATTTCCCCAGCCTTACTTTGAGAAAACAAAGTTTGAACCTAAGATCACCAATGTGGAAAGCCGAAGCACAAGCAAAGAGCTCGCAACTTTTTCTTTCTTTTTTTAAAAAAAATATATGTTATTGTTTTTTTTAATTTTAACAAAAGGTACTTGGGACACACCGTGGTGTTTGGGTAAACAAACATTCCAAAGTAAAAAACATACATAAACAGCTCAACTTAATACATTCACTGTCATCTCTCTATTTCCCTCAAATAACATAACAGATTTAATATATTCCATTTCTAGCTTACATTTCTATTACTACTAAACCTGTTTTAAAACTTTATCAATTTACAATGACCATAATCAAATATTGTTTTACATCAACAAATTATCACTTCAAGTATCTCTTCCAGATATGTTCAAGCTCTTAATCTGAGCTCGCAACTTTTTCTAACCATAGCACGGCTACCAGGAAAAAATCCGGACGGTCCCTGCGTCCGGGTCTTTTGTCAGATAGCGCCCCAGCCCAGATCTGGAACTCCTTGAAGTAGCTCCCTGCTAGAGTGGATGACCAGGCGCTCTTTTCGATATTTTACTACGCTAAGAGAAGCATTCCTAGGAAGACAAAAGCAAGACATCGAAAAGACCTCCACCTTCTTACTCACCTCCCTCCGCGGGCAACCCGAGCCGATTCCCCCTCCCTACATTCCCAACGCAGAACTAAGAAAGACTGGCTCTGTTTTCTGTCTCTATCGCTCTTGTGGCCCTGTTCGAGAGCGCCCCCTAACTTTGCGGAGGCCAGAACGACGCTTCACTTTACAAGCTAGTTGTCTGGGCTAGAAAGCGTGAAATCAATTCAAGAGTTCTCAAGCAGGATGGAGCGACACCCCCCCATCCACCCTTCTGTCAACCAGCTCTTGCGGGGAGAATTTTTTTATTATGGTTGGTTGCACAGTCAGAAGTTTAGACTGGATTTGGGATTTTTATCTACCCATTGAGTCCTCCCCAAGGACCTGGGCTATAGTCAGATGTTATTTGATGGTGTTAAAGATATGATCACAAAGTAGAGCTGCCTTTTGCAGTTGATTGATGGTGATTTTGTCAATGCCAATAGTATTTAAATGGTGCTCCAGATGGTTTGGAATTGCACTTTTACTCTTGGTACTATCTTTGCTTTCTTTTGCTATAGTCTTTTGCTACTTCTATTTGCATCTCTTTGTATTTTGTGATTTTCTCCAGACTTTCCCCCCCCCCCCTATTCTGCTGCCTCCTGGTCCTGCAATGTCCAGTATCCAACTTTTTTGTCTTTCTTATCAACCATTATTAAGTCTAGGGTACTGTGTGGCAGGTGCCTGTCTGTTTGAATTTTAAAGTCCCAGAGCACTTTAGCTTCTTCATTTTCTATTATTTTTCTATTTTATGCTCCCACCAGTTTTTCCTACAAGCAAATTGTATTTCTTGCAGATTTTTCAATGCACCATTGTTGCTACTTTGTCATGTCATTGTACAGTATGTAGTCAGTATGTGCAATCTTCTTGGGATGGGATAGCCTTGCACATGTTTTGAATGTTTGGTATCCATGGGCTCACTTGTTTGGTATTTTTGACAGAGGAATCAATACAATAACAAATAGTGCTGATCATGAGTCTTCTTGAAATATTACTCTTGATATTAATCCCTCCCAATTTATCACCATTGATCAGCAACTGTGCCTTCCGTTATATCATTGACCTTTGCACAAAGCTTCTGATGTGTCTACTCACTCCTGTTATGTCTAGGCACTTGATTATCTAGGTATGTGGCAGGTAGTAAAATGCCTCATTATAATCAATCCAAGCTACATTCATGTTGATCTTCCTACTCCTACAGTTTTCCAAAATCACCTTGACAATTAGGAGCTGATCTTTTGTTCCTCTGTGTTTGGTTAGTTTCCTGTCTGTTCAGGTGGAAAGAGTTTGTTTTCAACTAGATGCTGTTTAACTGCATCAGCTACCATACCAGTTAGCAATTTGAAAGTTATTGGTAAAGCAAGTAATTGGCCTGCAGTTGCCTGGTACTACCTTTTTTGTTGGATCTTTCACTATCAGGTAGGTTTTAATCAGATGTTAACCCCTCACTGCTTTGCAGTTTGTTGTTAAATTGCTTAACAATGAAAGGATGGCAATGAGTGGGTGTAGATGTTTCAACCAAAAACCATTCAGTTCATCTTCACCTAGTGCTGATCAGTTCTTCCTTCCCATTTTTCCACCATTCCTTATTATTTTCAACCCAACTCCAGTGGATTCTGGGCAATGTACAAAGGTTTTTAAAAAAAACATAAAAACAGCTAAAACAGCTAAAACATTAAATTAGGTAGGAGGATTAAATCAGAGGGAGAGCTTCAGCAAAATATTCCCATTTGGGACCAGAATGGAATGATCAGAGATATTCTGGAGACCTACCTGAAGCTTAAAGAAAATTCCATCTTCATAGGATTAAGGACTGGAGGCATCTGGCCCAGGCACCTGGGACTCAATCATTCATATGCCTATTTGTCTATTAAGCAGTGTTACCACAGGTGACCTGACCTCACATCTTCTAGCTAAGTTAAACTGCCCTTCCCATCATATCTGGACCCCACCGTGCCTGCAAAGCATTTCCTTCATGAAACCATTTTTTTCATCCAGAACAGACGTCTGATAGAAATTTGAATATCTGAATGTCTTTTGTCCTAGGGTTTGCTTCAGTAGAATGAATTAAGATTCTCCTGTTCCCCCTTTACAAGTAGTCCTCAGCTTATGACCACAACTGAACCCAAAATTTGTTGTTAAGCAAGACATTTGCTAAGTGAGTTTTGCTCCATTTTACCTTTCTTGCCACAGTTGTTAAGGGAATCACTGCAGTTGTTAAATTAATAACACGGTTGTTAAGTGAATCTGAGTTCTCCATTGTCTTTGCTTGTCAGAAGATTGCAAAAGGGGAT